AAGCAGAGACCTTGTTAACCAGAGACGAAGTCAAGCACAAGCCTGGTGAATCACACACCGTGTACAGCAGATACCGGCTGCCTCACATTCTAAGTACGACTGAGACTGTGTGAAGTAGACAGTGCGGCGGAGTCTAGTCCTGATAGGGATGGGACAGGTCAAATAAGAAGAAAAAATTTCAAACTTTTCGAAAAATCAAAAAACGCTGCAAACCTTCTTGGGACAAGAACTTCTCAAGACTTGGGACAAGTGACTTCTCAAGACTTGCGACAAGTAACTTCTCAAAGACTTGGGACAAGAACTTCTCAAGACTTGGGACAAGTGACTTCTCAAGACTTGGGACACGCACTTCTCAAGACTTGGGACAAGTGACTACTCAAGAGTTGGACATGGACTTCTCAAGACATGGGACAAGGGACTACTCAAGACTTGAGACAAGTGACTTCTCAAGACATGGGACAAGTGAAGTTCTCAAGACTTGGGACAAGTGACTTCTCAAGACTTGTGACAAGAACTTCTCAAGTCTTGGGAAAAGTGACTTGTCAAGACTTGGGACAAGTAACTTCTCAAGACTTGCGACAAGTGACTTCTCATCAGACCCCCTATGACGGACCGTGTTTTAGCCTGACATGGTGTCCGCCGGATCCAGTCTGTGGCGGACCCATTCACTACAGGAACCGGAATCTTCAGTTTTGGGGGCAGGAGGGATGACATCCAAAACTTCGAACATTTTTCAAATTTTCGAATAATAGAAACTTGAAAATGTTCAAAACCGCAAAGTACTAAAAATATTCTAAATTTTCGAAAATGTTTTTGAAATTAAATTTTTTCAATTTTTTAGTATTTTTAGCGTTTTGGACATTTTCCTATATAATTTTTTTAAAAATTTGCAAATTTTTCAGGAATTTCGAGAAGTAAAAATTGTAGTAAAATGTCCAAAAATCCCGCACAAATCCGAAAATTTTTGAAAAATTTGAACTTCAAAAAATGGTTCAAAATGTCGAAAACCTTTTTAGTTATTTTGGACTTCTATGACATCTCTGAACTTTTTGAAAGTTTTGAAAAGTTTTTGACTATTGAAATTCTATCCACCAGTCACTCTCACCGGCACAGACTGTCCGGCAAAGACCAGGTCAGGCAGAAACATTGTCCGGCTGTTCCGGGTTTGAAGAATTTTGAAAACATTTTAAATTTCTCAAAAACGTTAACAATCAAAAAAGTGTAAAAAAATGTCTAGAAAGCTCACATAAGTACATTTTTTGCAAGATTCCAACTTCAATTTTTTTTTTAAAAATATCGAACATTTTTAGTTGTTTTCTTTTTTTATGACATCTGTGAGGTTTTTGAAAATTTTGGAATATTTTAAAAATTTTCAAATATTGAAAGTCGATCCACCAGTCACCCTCTACGGCAAAGACTGGGTCTGGCAAAGACGGGATCTGTCGGAGATCCCGGTTCAGTCCGATACCGGGTCAACAAGGCAGAGTTCCCAAAGTTCGCCACCAGGACTCCTAGGTCAGACAGGATACAAATAACTTGCTTTTTGCAATAACAGTATACTTCCTTATAGTTCAAAGAAATTCAAATTTTGAACCCATACATACCAAACAGATATTTGGTGTTTCTTCAAACAGTTTTCAAAAGTAACAGGCGGATACATTTACAACATCATTTAATCAATTTTTATAATAGTTCAAATAAACAAGTTTGTTTATGCCTTATAATGAGAAAACAGAACAATTTTTAACTGTCTGTCTCAGTATTATGTAGCTGTGACCTACCATCTCTTCCTTCAATTTGAAAAAGTATATTTCAATCACATCATAAGGTGGCAAAGTGTTGCCCCACACTAAGGCTCTTCCTGGCACACTCTTCAACGAGTCGGTTCAACTCACTTGCATTATAGCCAAGAAGCTGTTTTAAGTCACACACAAACTTGTACACAAATCTTTTGCCATGTACCTGGAAAGAAATCAGAATTCATTAACACCTAAATTGTAAGACTTGAGGTTGTCACAGCGGTGAGTAGGAAGATATCCGTCTTCTGGGTTATTGCGCTGTGTAGTCTGGTCGATGTTAACCAACGTTTCAGAGGTCATACTGCCTCCGTTATCAGGGCGATGAATATGCCAATAGGGTGTGAGGAGCTGGATTTATAGGCCTGGAAGTGAAAGGTGTAGCCTGCCCCGAGCCAATGGGAGTGGACCAATGGTAGCACGTGGGCGAGAGTGGGAGAGGGAGAGAAAGTAGAGAGAGAAAGGTGAGTTTGGTTGTATGGATCAGGGCCGAGTTAGTGGTCTGGTTGGTTCTGGCGGCACACTCTTGCTCGCTCTCGGAGGAGGACTTTGGTCAAAGGCTTAAGCGCTGCCAAGTTAAGCATCTTATATTTGTTGTGTTGGGCTTCACTTTGTCCTATGTTACAAAGATTCTCATTTTCATGAATTTGTATGATCTCTGGTTGCTGCCTGCGCAAAATTCAAACAGTCACATGCAATTCGTAAACCAGTACGCACCTTGTAAAACTGCTAGTGGACCAGAGAGCCTAAATGTGATCTGTACAAACATAATAGTTTGGACATGAAAAATAACAATTAAAAAAAAAGGCAGACTTCACATTCAGTGACAGGTCTAACGTAGTAACAAGTCTGTTCGCTGACGCACCTGGATTTATGTCACATTTTTCCTATACCCCTATCTGCTGTCCTAAGTAAGCGATTAAATGCGACCGGTGCGAGTTGCGTGGGTGACGTGGAAATATCAAACTGGCTGTTTGTGTGGCGCTGTCCTACGTTTCAGTGAAGCGATCAAGGGAAGGAAGCAGAAAAAGTCTGAGTTCAAATAGTTTAATATTTTTGTGCGAATCGCTGTGCTGACCAGTAAGGTGCATGCACAGGAAAGCTGTGTGCGTTCTCCCACGTAGGACAAAAAAACAAAAAACAAAAAAACACAAAAAAAAACAACAACAACAACAACAACGATGATTTCCTCACTTCTTATCACACCCCGTGCAGCTTATGTAGCGCGCGCAGCTTGCTTGTTATCGCTTACGTAGGACATTGCCTTACAACAGCAATTAGTATTTCAGATTTACCTTTGCAATCATGTCTCCATCATAGTAATAGCGGAGTGCCCGACTCAGTTTCTCATAGTTCATGGTTGGTTTGTTTTTACGTTCGCCCCACAACTGCGCCACCATTTCTGGATTGTGCAGCTTGAATTCTCCATCATTTCCAAGCCACTGTATAACACCACGATGCTCTTTGTCTGTCAGCAACTCAAGAAGGAACTGCCACAATTGGATCTGGCCATTGTTCCCTGTGAAAAACAATAGAAAATCAATACACCGCCGACCATCCATTCTATAGTAAGCACTCCTACCAACTATAATACACTATATTTATCCAAATATCATGTGCACCTTCATTTTTGTATAAAAAAACAGTTGAGCATCATATTTGAGTATTTTATTTGTGTAGCACAAAGTGTTATATACATGGTAATATATAAAATGCAGCAGTAGACTCAGCAACATCAATCACATGAGCTGTGCCAACCATCAAGAAGCTTGACCTTGAAAACTCGCTCTCTTCTTTGAGCAGAACTTAATGGGCAGAGATGTACTGTCAACTGTTGTCAATAACTGCAAAACAGTTCAGTCCTTGCTACATACAGACCTACAGCCACCACATTATTCCTTCATTCATAGCAGCCTTTCAGGGAGTACTACCAGGGTCAACCATAATGCCAGTATTTACTGGTCAGAAAACTATCTACATGGCAATAATTTATCCACTGTTAAACATGCATAATGATCATAATGTGTGCACAAAGGAGAAATGTTATTTTTTGATTGAGCAGTGTGTGTCATACAAACCTCCACCCCCCGCCCCCCCTCTGAGATGCCCTGATTAATGAACGGATAATACGCCTCTTGGAAATTAATGAATACAGCAGTGATGCTTTAGTCTCCGTAAGAAACTTGAGATGTTAAAGAATGAGAAAGCAGGGAATCGTGACACAAAGAGAGAGTCTGAAATGTGTGAAAGTCACAACCACTGGTAAGTAGCAGCCACCGGAAACTTTTCATAAGCAAATAGCATCCAAATTCCCAGTAGTATAAAAAAGCTTTCTTCATATTTAAATGAGAGGCAGTAATCTGGTCATATGCTGTTACATGAAATGTTTAGGCTGAAGGAATTAAAAACTGTGAAAGAAATTGGTATCCAGGGTTTAAACACAAGTAAAGATTGGTACCAGATATTTATTAAACAAAATGATTATTATGTACAACAGCAAGCATTGCACAAAATCTTCCTAACGCACACAAAGAAAAATGGCGGCACTTCCAAAGTACAAGTACCATGGTCTGCGACAAAGATGACAAGATCAATTCAGACGACAATAACTGCAACTGAATTGAATTGAATTATTATGATTGTGTCAGTCATCATGTGTGCTTGTACGCATTTCTAGAGTCGGCCTAGCCACATTAATACAATTTGTCACTTTTTGGCCTTTAGTATTTCACTGACATAACGTCTTTCTTTAAAATGCTAAAAAAAAAACTGGGATGCATGTCTTATTTGAATGTGCATGGTATATGGATAAATACAATAGTTCTAAGAATGCACAAACATCGCAAACTTATAGAATAAACTGATCATTAAAAATTCCTTCAAAACCTTTCGCCTATAGTACTTCTATTCACAAAATATGAGAAACTGAACTCCTGCTACATAATACAAGCAAGAAGAATTTAATGTCGTTGAAGACAATTTAATTTTAGGTGCTGGCAGCCAGTCTGTGATAATTCATGGTTTGGTTTGTTGGTTTTATAATATGGTATTTCCTGCAGACCATATGAAGTACCAATAAACAATTAATCACCACATTGAAAAGAGATAAAAATACTTTCTGTTGACCTTCAAATCCATTTAATAATATCTTTAAAACATGAAGTTGGGTAACAAATAAAATGGCATCACAATGCGACCACCAAGATTGCTAAACATGCGACAAGGATTTTGTAATCAATGTATCTAAGTTAAATTTGAGACATGTTACGCAAACAAAATATCCATGATTTTATAAAACTAGTATACATTACATAAGGAGCAATATAAATCACACTAAAAAGTAGTACAACTCCCATTTTTACCATTTTTCTGTATCTTCAAAGTGTGTGCTGGTAGCATAAGTTAGATTTTAACAGGCTAAGAAATCAATGGGCAGTAAACCATAATTACCATATCAATAACAGAAAGGACCCAAACAAATAATTCTGAAAGATCTGCTTTAATTCTTTAATTTTATGATTAATAATGAAGTTCAATTTCATGATGTGGTGTTATTTGGAAATCAGAACGTTTAATTCTTTCAAAATCTGTAAATAAAACATTACAGTTTTCACACTCTAAATGTGATGTTTCATGAAAAATAATCAGAATAGAAACAAAAAAGGAAACTTAAATTTTTATGAATTCATAGAGTAGTAAACTCACCAGTCTAAACCTATCAGCAAAAGTTTCTCATTCCCCATTAAAAGTTATACGTTCACAATTGGTACATGTATATTATTATATTATATTTATTTAGTGTTCTGTCTGACGACAGGTCCATATGAACAGGATCCTTCCATCCTTTTCTCGGAATGGGACCTGTTCATATACATTCTTGGCAGATGATCCAGAAGTGGTTTGCCATTGCCTTCTTCTGTGTGTGAGTGGAGTAATTGTTGGGATGCCACGGAGAGACCGGGGAAGCCCCCGGAGGAAAACTCCATGTTGCCTAGACCACGGCCTTGCCCAACACAAGTTATAAATTCGGGCACCCCCGGGAATCGAACCCGAGACCCCAGGATTACAAGGCCAGCGTTCTAACCGCTTGTATATTGTAATGAAATGTAAGGTCTACATGCAGAGAACATTTCTCACCTGTTCTGTTCCCGCAACCCATGCCACTTGATTCGACAACGCTCAGTGGTAGACCAATGATACGCGGCACTTTGAACAGCTTCGTCTGTCGTGGTTGTCTGCCACGGATCTGCTGTCCTTCAATATGGGTCGTGTATTGGCGAGTGTCTACTTGCTTCTGCACTACAGCTATCAGCATAAAGCCAAACAAATGCCGACAACAAAATTACTAGATAAATAGTAAGAAGACAGAATGACACTGTTTAAAATGATGTGTATTGCACAATTATTTTTGTTCTTACCCTTTCTTCCAAAAATAAATTGTCACTGATATTTTATTGCAATATGAAATCTGTAATTTATCATCACCCTGATGAAGGAAGCAGCAATGACCTCTGAAATGCTGGTAAACTTCTACCAGACTACACGACACTACAACTGAGAATAAAGCAATCTTCTACACTTTATCTTCCCCATGAAACTGGAAAACGACTCACCTATAAATTTGCACTTGCGCAGAAGTTCTAAATGGGTCCAGAACAGGTCCCCAGGGTCAACAGGAACAATGGAATGGAAATCAGACAAAGAAAGCTGGCAAAGCTGTTTGCCTGTGATGTTCCAGTCACTCAGGCTAAGACCCACAAGATTGAACTGGCGCACGGCCCACAGCAGCCACAGACGCACATGTGCAACAGACCAGTCATTGGGATCTAAATTCAACAAAAGTATTATACAGGTTAGCACAGGTAGCAATCAACTAGAATTTCAGAAGCTCGCGATTCAAACTGTGGTCAGGGCACTGGATATACTAACAAACTTTTCATGGTTTAACTGATCTAATCCAGGTAAACGTAATGACAGTAACTTGAAATACCCTACAACAGTGGTCCCCAACGTGGCGCCCGCCAAGGCTTTTTTTGGGTGCCTGCGTTGCTACAGAAAAAAGGTTATACTGAATAATAAAAGCCGTTCAACCATGAACATTATAAAATCAAAGCACAGATCTCGACTTACTGACCACAATTCCGGGAACTTTTTGACTGCCCTACGTATAATTTGTTAAGGGGACAGGTTTCAGATGCATATAATGCTACTGGAAGTATTAATGTTTTGTGAAGAAGACACCTTGTTTTTCTAGATATGGATCATGATGTAAACATGTTGCGTAGGTCACAATACGCTCTATTGGCAAGGAGTATTCTGTTATGTATTTCGTCATCTATGTTGTTAAAAAACCTGTGACGCTAGATATTAAAATTCCTTGACCACTTCAAAATTATATTCTCTGAGCGTTAGGTTTTCACTTATTCTATTTCAGTGTGCTTCGCTTGTCAATACCACCTTACATTTTGTTTCGAGTTCATTCACTTGGAGACCAAATTCTTTCTTATGTACGGGGACTACCCTTATTTCATTCTTCAGGTGAAACTTCAGAATTCCATACCTCTGTCATAATTTCATGGATCCAACCTTCTAGTGCTTTTCCCTCACTTTTGTATAACTCCACTGTTAGACCATTTCATCCCGCAGAGTTGTTATTTCTAAGTTTCTTAATTGCAGCAATTGTTTCTTGAACAGGGTCCATTAATGACTGTAATTGAAGCTGCTGAATATTTGGTTCACAGGAGCATATCCCCTCCGTTTATCAACATGTAAAAATGCTCGGCCCATCTACTGATAATTTTGGTTTTATCATTTATCAGAGTGCCATCTTTGTCTTTACAAGATATTGTTTAAAATGTTTCCTTGTTAATTTGATAGCTTCATAAATTTTTCTTGTTTCTTTTCGGTCTCTAAGATCTTCTAGCCGTTATAAACACATTTTTTCGAAAGCCCGCTTTTTTGCCGTATGAATTCTTTTTTATTCTCATCACTTCGTTTTGTATTCTTCCCATGCAGCTATTGTTTGATGTCTTTGTTGCAGGCACTGGGTACCTATTTTAGTAGTTTGTTACGACATGCATGGGCTACAGTGGGGCTATTCTTATTCTCCAACCACCACATGATTGTCCCATATACTGACACCCCAGTGGCCAAATGCCTGATGTATGTACAGTCCCATGTCCTTTTATCAAGCAGCACATCTGAGCACCTTGCATGTGCACTAACCCAAACAAAGCACAAAAGGTTCATTCATAAAATGTATTTGACTTTTGGGAACATGTTCAAATAACTAGCATTAGTTTCTTGATACTCTGAACCCACACAGCAAAAACCTCTTCTTTTATATATGAATATATAAATATATGTCTGTAATAGTTTCGGATCATTAAGTGGGCTAAAAGTTAATCAGTAGCAAATTTGTTATAAACTTCCAAATAGTTCTGAGGGCTGAATATGAGGAAGACATCGTCTGCGCATTAATTTTATAATTTTACCACAAATAATGATTTAAATGAAGTTTAAGTGTTCAAGCACTAGACACAGAAATTTCTGATTTCAGTGAAGCTAACAACAATCTTGGAAATTCAGTTTGCTCTTAAAATGTCAATAAAACACACCTGTTGGGATCTTCAGCCGCTCCTGTTCCTTCTTGAAGTGACTATCCACCACCCATCTAATCACATTGTGTTTTGATTCAGGAGTCTGATAAGTCTGTTTCTGAACAGAAGAGTCATCTGAAAGTGGAATTCTGTTGTTAAATATATATATATCATAAAATATATGCCAGTTTTAAAATTCAAGTCCGAACACCTCTACCGCAAAAGCCTGCCAGTGGATCTAATCCTGAACCAGTTCTTTCCAATTCACATTGCTAAAATGTGTTCCTTAACAATTCACTTTTAACACCCTTTGGAATTCGAAACGGATGCTGTCCAAGAAGTTTCCCCACAAAAGTTCTCTATAGCACTTCTTGGTATTTCAGTCAGAATTGTGTGATCAGCATACCAGAAGTTCACTTTAACTGTCCACAGGTTTTTATTATTTTTATTTGTAGTGTTCTGTCTGACGACAGGTCCATATATTATGAACAGGATCCTTCCAACCTCTTCAGGTTGTCAGGGACCTGCTCATACATATATACATTCTTGGCAGAGATGATCAGAAGTGGTTTGCCATTGCCTTCTTCTGTGTGTGAGTGGAGTAATTGTTGGGATGCCACGGAGAAACCGGGGAAGCCCCCGGAGGAAAACTCCGTGATGCCTAGACCACGGCCTTGCCCAACACAAGTTATAAATTTGAGCACCACCGGGAATTGAACCCGAGACCCCAGGCTTACAAGGCTAGTGTTCTGACCGCTAGACCAATGAAGAAAATACCAACATACTGACAACACAACTAACAAATTTAAACTTCACTTCATACTCATTACACACGACTTTCGCTTGTTTTCTAATGTATAGAGTAAAAACCACATTTAACAGTGCACTGAAGAAAATATGAAATGGAGGAAATTTAACACTGGATCATTGATCTTTGATCCAGAAAATGAACATTAAATTAGGGAAAACTTTTTAACTATAAATCAAAAAACATTTTAAACTGAATCCCTTAACCTGTATCAGAGAAGCATCATGGCTAAACCACAGTTGAGGTGACCATATTTCTCAGCAGCACAGCACCAAATCATTAACACCAGAGTTAAGTCTGGCCATGGGATTAAATCCCCCATTACTGTACAATACAGTTTAAATGTGTGTCACTGTAATTGTACAATAGAAATGCACACATAATCTCCAGATGTATGATGTACGAGGGTGAGTCAAATGAAAACCGTAAAACTGAGATAAAAATTCGAAATATTGCGCCATTGTCCTATAAGTTGGCAGACATGTTACCAATGCTATAACGAGTATCCTATAGGTGACAGTATAATTCAGACAAACAGATCGCCATCACAGTGCCAATTTGAAAATGGCTGCTCCACTAGTTACGTGCACGAAAGAAGAACAACGTTCTGTAATTCGTTTTTTGATCAGTGAAGAATCTTGAAGAATCATCTTCGACCTGCAGTCAGATCAAAGCGACGTGGACTTTTGACTAGAGGTGTCCTTGACATGACAGTGCTCGGCCCCATACTGCCCGTGCAACAGTTGCAACAATCCAAGACTTGCACTTTGAGTGTCTTCCACATCCGCCATACTCACTAGACCTAGCCCCAAGTGATTACCACATGTTTGGGCCACTCAAAGAGGCGATGGGAGGAAAGAAGTTCCGTTCTGACGAAGAGGTACAGCAGGCGGTGCATGAGTGGTTGCGCAGACAACCACAAGAATTTTTTTCTAGAGGAATCCATACACTTCGTAAACGCTGGAGGGCCTGTATTGAACGAAATGTAGGCTAAGTAGAAAAATGATATTGTTGTGTACCGCTTTCACTCAATAAATTAAATTTAAAAAAACAAATTTACGGTTTTCATTTGACTCACCCTCGTATGTCAAGTACTATTCGTAAATAGCGAATCCTAGTTTGGAAGGAAACTTACACTGTTCCTCAGCTATTTCAACATATTCTTCAGCTGGTTTAAGAACATCCACAATATTTATCTTCTTAACATTCCCATCTGTTTTGATTTGCACATTTACCTGGACCAGCCCCTCTCCCTGTACGCACTGATCAACCAAGTTCTTGTGCCCCTCTAACTGCAACAAAAGACATATTGCACCATCTATAATCTCATTGTCTCTGTTTATTTAATGGTGTTTAATCAACCACATGATTTATATAGCACAAAATGACAGGATGATGATGAATAAGAGTAAAGAATATGAAAAATCATGGCCTCTTTTCAGGTGATATCCCAAGTTTCACCCAGAGAAACTTAGGAAAACAATGAAAATCAGGATTCCTGGTATCACAGGTGTGACGGCAATACTAGTATCTCTCAAGTATCCAATAAATACAAGTTTAATGGTTATTTAATGAGATTTTATCAACTTTGTAGGTACCACAGCTTCAAATGACAAGATGATTATGAATGGCAAAAGGAGATCATGGAAGAAAACATGGAATATCTGAAGTGATTGCATAAAAGAACTGAGAAAAATCATGTACAATCTCAGTAAAGATAGCCAGTCTCCAGACCAAGATCTGAACCCAGGAGCCTCCCCGAAAATATAAAACATGAATCCTTTACCACTACATCATGATGTTTGGTTTAGTATCACAAATTTTACATAAAGTTTAATGGTGAATTACCTACAATCTGATAACTAATGCCCTAAACAAATAAACCTTTTACAAATGACCGGGGCAGCTCACCATCTGAGCATCCTGCAGCCAGAATTGGTAGTCTGTTAGCTCAACACCTAGCCTTTGCTCCAAAAGAGTTCGCAAGGTAGATAGTGGTTCACGGATGTCCATATGTTGCATCAATACTCCAGCTGTTTCATCATCCCTGCAACACAGCTAGCTTAAATACACATGAACTTCAAGTCAATGTCATAATGAAGAACCGCCATATTCACGTCAGTCAGATTAATTTTTGTAATCCATAATTCAAAAAGGCACAATGATCCCTCTACCAGAGATATTTCACAGATATTTGATATTTTATATTGCTATCACGTTCACAAACACCTATTCAGCCATTTTCAGTGTGGTCAGAAAGATGGACTGCAGCACCACCAAAACTCATGAGCGACGCAGGAATCAAGTCCAGAGAATGGAAGTACTTTAGGAAAGCTAAAAAGTCGTTGTAAGCTTCACTTTCCCACAGCCCCCATTTAAGGTTTTTCTCAATAAAGTACCAGTACAAAACTTGATACCAAATATTCAATGACTCACTAAGTTCATGCATTCCAAAAGTGTTGCTACAACAGTCAGTATGAGCCTACTGCAGGCAACATGATGGTTTCTACTCAAAATTTATTATCCCTTTGAATATGAAATAAAACACAGTAATTAATTTTAAAAAAATATGCAGTTTACATGCAGGCTTTATAAGCATCACCTGTAGCCCTGCAGACATCCAAATGGTATTTACTTGGTCCAGAACAACAAAGTATGTCCAGAATCGCTGTCACTACAGCTGTGGTGATTCCTTGTTAGATATCTCAAACCATGTAGACAATATTTTTCATGTAAACCAATACACTGGTATGAGATTTGAACCATTTGGAGGCAAGGTTATTGATCCAATACTCCATTTCAATTAGGAAACCTAAGATTCATAGCCGAGCATATCTGAAGACTGAAATGATGCAGGGCCCCATCTTAACTGCAACTATTAAAAATATATTAAAATTGGCCATCAATCACAATATAAGATAATTAAAAGATTAAAATATCATTTTACGTTCCTTATCGAGTACTCGATTTACATGTGGAACATTTACGACATGTTTCGGCTATATATAGCCGTCATCAGGTGTTATATTATAAACTTATTAACTGAATTACTGATTTTTACTGATATTTAATGATAATATAGAAAACAAAATAAATAGATGAAAGTAATCATATAAACTTACCCGAGAAGTAATATCGCAGCAGTATTAGGAGAGATTGGAGGTATACTGTATCGGATCGTGGCTGGTTACCGACTGCAGTGCTAGTGGGTGAAAGGTGGTTTGTCAGGGTTGAGGTCAAGGTACTGGAGTGCATTAAAAATGGGGTTGTTAAGTAAAATATTATTATCATTAAGGCATATGTTTTGTTTATAAGTTTGATATATGTGATATTTTTCTATTGTATCTCTGTGTCTTTTGTTTTTTACTATTTTTAATATGTATATATAGCCGAAACATGTCATAAATGTTCCACATGTAAATCGAGTACTCGATAAGGAATGTAAAATGATATTTTAATCTTTTAATTATCTTATATTGTGATTGACGGCCAATTTTAATATATTTTTAATACTTATAAATCACAATATGACGCATCTACAATATCTTAACTGCAACTGCATTTTTGGTTTCAGTGCCATCAATATGTCAGAAAACAAACTAAAATTTGTTTTCTTTTCATGCACGTTTTGATTAACATCCCAGATTATACAGTGCCAAATCACAAGATAATCTACTCCTAATATAACAGCCAACGTCTGTCACGCTCGAGTGCACCAGCGTACAGTTCATGTGAAATGGAAAAAGTTTATATTAAGTTCTGGCAGTGGCAACTTTGGTAGCAAGAAATGCAAATGAGTCTATGGCGGTGCCTGTGGTTGCTTCCGGCACAGTCTGTGTTTTATGGGAGTCTGCAGTCAGGCAGTTTGTTTTGTATCAGTGCGTCTGATACGAAGCTGGCTTCAATCACCATGAAATTAGATTCACATGTAAGTTATGTTATAAATACTATACTTTCAATTCAATTTGTAAAGATAATACTGCAATAAAAAGATCCATTTCTCTGTCAACTCTGCTGGGACATACTATACTAGTAAGTAAATAATAAGTTGAGAAAGAATATGAAATAATTCAGTCACGGCCTAATTTAAGGTACTGTCCCAGTATTTGCCTGAATTGAAGGAAAATCACAAGAGATCTGTCATGATACCTGGTCTCGAAGCTGAAATTTAAAAGCTGGACCTCCTAGATATGAACACACGCTACACCAAAATGTGGCCTGAGCCTTTGGGAACTGCTAAACATTTAGCAACAAAACATTAAATCTTAAAACAAGATCTTTTTTGTGCCTGTGTATATTTAAGTCTAAAATTTGTGTCCCATAAAACTATCCAACATAAAATTAACGACAGTCAGGGCATTACATTTACCACAAACTTAATTAGGTACTAAGTAAGTTTTTCAACACAGATTAAAACACAAGGTAACTAACAAGGACTTCTTCTTCTTCTATGGCTCTCTGGTCCGTATTCGGTCCATGGCCTCCTCAATTCTCCTCTTCCATTCGGTCCTAACCTCCGTTGCTCTGTTAGGTCCATCTGTCAGGCTTTGATTGAGGTTTCGAAACATCTTCCTTTTTACGGTGCAAGGTTGTTAACCTTGCGACCAACCCCCAACCTGGAGGACCAGGGTACCTGTCTTAGTCTGACCTCTCCCCCTCGACCAATCTGGCTAGGGAGGCCCTACCAGTAGCTATGCTACCGCCAGCATAGAACTGACAAAGACTATAAATAGTAAATTTAATTAATAATCACCTGGAACCACCTTTTTCACTTGTACATATTGGCAGTTAAAATGTTTTCAAATTTAAAATTCTAATTAAACTAAATATCTGTCCAAATTAAATTGCTGAAGTATGTAACTATCAGTATACACTGCTCTCTTACCCTTCTAGGGGCTGCTCCATTCTGCTTACTCCTATATATTCCCCATCTTCTTCGTCTTCTTCCACCGCAACAGCAGAGATACCATCCACAGACTCCTCAGTGCACCCTGGCACTGCTAGAGATGTCACAACCTCCTCAGCTTGTACCAATTCCAACTCATTGCCTGCTATCACCTCCTGTCCCATTACCACTTCTGTAATAATATCCATTGCACCTGCAGTTACCTTCTTCCCATGATATTGCTTCTTCTAGTTTGATGATCGGTTCACTGATTACTTAAGGAGTTCTAACAACTGCAGTGGCTAATTAGCACCATATAGAAAACGCAACTTTTCCAGATAAAATTGTCAGACAATTTACATCGAAAGAAAATGTGAAAAGGACATTGCAAAAACAGAAAAGATAATATGTAGGGCAGTCAAAAAATTTCTGGAATTGTGGTATAGCACTGTATTAGTAGGACATATGGCAACGCTTACCTAATCACCTTCGATCCTGCCATCGTTGGAAGGTTTCATTTGGAATCTTCCGGAGTTCGGCCATCGCATTCGATACCTTGCTGGTTGTGCAGCAATTCCTCGCCAAGAAAAGCATTCCCGTCATCACCCAATCACCATACTCTCCGGATCTCATTCCGAGTGACTTCTGGCTGTTCCCTACTCTGAAAATGGGACTCAAGGGGACGCGTTTCCCAACCACGGAGGACATCAAATCGAATAAGACGGCCGAACTCCGGTAGATTCCAAACGAAGCCTTCCGCCGGTGCTTCCGACAATGGCAGGATCGATGGAGCAAGTGTGTGCGCGCAAGGGGTCGTACTTTGACGGTGATTAGGTAAACGTTGCCATATGTCCTACCATTACAGTGCTATACCAGAATTCCGGGAACTTCTTGACTGCCCCTCGTATATGCCACAAAATGGAACACTAATCCTCTTCATGACACTGTAGTAAGTTATAAGTACTTCAGTACAAAATACTTAAGCTCTTTACAAGTATTCCTAGCATCACCTTTCCTTTGGGTTGATATTTTGTAATGTTTTGTGGATCATTGCTCACCTTACCAACTAGTACGGTAGTGTACAGAAGTAGCGATACTTAGTTTAAGAAAGATTATTATAAAAGAAATTAATGAATGCCAAAAAGCAATCTGCGTCGCCTACTATCACCAAGTCCTCTCAACGGCAACATACCTATAGCAAGAGATTATAATGGGAAAAACCAAAACAATTTATTCCAGTATTCTGTCGTTAATATCTATTTTATTTATATTCTTCACACTATATATGAGATTAAGAAATACTGCATAATTCAAAGAAAATATTACAAAAGGCTTTTATAGTTTACAAACATGTCCATTACCTGCAATAGCATCATTTGCAACAGTGTCATCATGAAACTGGGCCACGAGTGTGCAGGCCTCCTCTGGCAGCATTGACTCAGCATCCACTGACTGATCATCTAAGTCTGGCTGCTCTAACTTAATGCGCTTGCACAATAACTCGCTCACTTCTTGATCGTCTGCCTCTATCAATCCATGAGACTTGTTACCAGTGACAAAGAACCTGCAACATATTCAGTTTTCTTACATGATTTTGTGTTTTACAACAAAACACTAACAGTTAATGATTTCTTACATGGTGATCACATCCTTTTATGTCACACACTGTTTCAAAATTGTTCACCGTCACAAAGTGAAGTTAAAACAAACAAATCTACCTTATCTCACACAAAGACAAAGTTTTATATTTCTATAATAAATATGAATTCAGAGACAGAAATATGTATATATGCTATACACATTCTTCATAATTCTGTTCTGGAATATGATCAACCTCACTCAACTTACTAATGTGGAAAGATAAGCTGGTCAGCACAGCATTGCGTCTCAACAAATGCCCAAAACATCAGAAGAAACACTACGAATTACTTTAAATACTTTAACGGTGTATGATCTGTACCATGCGGTTGGATGAAAACATTGTTGCGGTACACGTCCTAAAACTGTAATGTTGTTTGACTACTTTAATAATGGTACCTGCAAGTGTCTGTATATGTCTACACATCATGTTCCACGACGAAATGTCAATGTGATATATCACACTGAAACATTTAGAAATAGAGTGCACAAACTATATTCCAATATCAGACAGCATACTTCTATAATAAACTTGTAGTTTTATGGCAATGGTTATAATAATTTAATAATAACAGATAATCTATTAAACATTATCCCATTAGGTCAAAAATCCCTTAAAGGCATTACAATAGAAATGATTATAATTATTTACGCATAAGACAGACAATTACAAACATTCACCTATAAACATAACTTTTTAACACTGTTGAGACGTAAAACACATCACATATAAATTACACGTGCGTTGACTGTTTATATTTATTTTTACCTACAGGAGACTGAGAACAAAGAAATTACCGTTTTCTTGTATCAGGTGCCAAAGTGTACACCTTCTTTCCATTCTCGTCCTCCTTCAGAATAAGCACTGCCTGCTGATGTGCCATCATACCAACTCTGCAACAAAAATTTCAGTACTAAGAATTCAAAATGTTATTATGCCCACTGTGGAGCTGCAATATACATGCACATGCACACAAAGATACAAAACCCGACACAATGCCCCTCCATATATTGTCAACTTCGCACTCACAGGTGCACTGAACTGGAGATGGAAACAGAGGAGAATAACTTACATGCAGTAGCAAGTAAAATTTCAGAAACTGTCCTAAAACATTTATGGATTCACCATATTTTTGGTGTCTGGCAGGGCTAATGTACTCTTTCATACTGAATATCTTCTCTGCACGCTTTCTTTCAGAAAATAATGTACAGTGCACAAACATACTACATTCTGAATGCAGTAATAAGACTAGACACAGATTATGAAAGTACAGTATTTAGCACAGCATATTGTGGTGACATATGAAGCTTTCACCAAGACTGAAAGCAATGAAGTATTCTTGGGCAACCAGCCACATGAAAATAGGGCACAGTACTCACGTTAGAGGCAGACAGTATTCAAAACGTTGGGGACACACTCGGTTCTCAAACGGACAATCACCTGATAAGACTTCTGTGTACTAATGACTACTATGCCTTCGTATGAAATTCACCTCTTGCACAATGTCACCAAATATTCTGATCAAAACAGAAATAACTACTCAAGACCTCAAGCAACAACAAGAACAATAACTTTTGTTTCTGGACGCAACTTTTATGGCTGTACCACATGGAAACACATAGTTTTTACTGTCTTTGTTTATACACCATATTCTTTCACTATTACAAGCTTAAGCACTTTGGTTTACAAACGAACGTGCTCCCTGTGTTCAAACACGTATTTCCATAGACTTAAAGTATTTAGAGTCCTTTACACTTGAAATTCAATCTTGACACAGAAGTAACACATATTTGTATACATATACCAATAAACTTACCACCATATACTACCAATTCTATCATATTAATATTAGGTTATATACAGTATAGAATGTCCAACGTAGAAACTTACATGGCCTTGGATATTTTACATGCGGTCAGTTTCCATTAAATGTAATTGCAACGCAATTCCTGCAGAGTGCGACAAAATCTCGATTTGGCATGGAGTTGTTTTATACAATCAAGCTGAGTACTAGCATGTTAAGTAACGCATGAAGTGATCGTCTATCCACTTTGATCATAAATATAAGAAACGGGTCTTTGTATTATTAAGAAAAAAAACATAATATATACAGTAAAACCTTAAGTAGGACACTTGGGGTTCCACGAAAATGTGTCCAAGATAGAGGGAAAGAAAAAATCGGAATGTGGTCTAATGACAATATAATCTATTTACTTACATACACTAATTACTGTAGGCTTACTTGAATTAAGAATTAATGACAATAGTATTAATAATAATCTTTTGAAGCCCACTCCTCTGCATTGCACATTTCACCCCAGCCTCAATAACATTTTCTAAAGATAATTCCACTAATTTTCGCTTCCCCATCGCAAAAACAAAAATTCCATTTCTGTTAACACAGTCTGAACTCAAATGCAAGCACAGTACTGATGGAGTTAAAACTGTGTCTTCTGCAGTACTGTAGTCCAGTTAAGGGATCAGCAAAATAATAGTTAAACATTTGCAATGTATTCCAATGATGGGTTATATGTGCGTAAGATAATCCTTCAGAGAGGAGGCATTCATCAGTCAGAAATTCAAAATAACAAAATATGTAACTGAAAAGGTTTCCCTGAGAAACACTGAAGCTAAGTGCACGAACCTGTCCAACTTACAAAAAAAGTTCCAGGTTAAATGGGTGTCCAAGACATGTGGATGTGTAAAATTATAGGATATTCACCGGTTCCAATTAAAAGTGTCCAATATAACGGGGTGTCCAACTTGAGAGGTTTTGCTGTACAAAGTTTGATGTTGGGTGACACTTTCAGTTTTATTTTCTTTATTCAAACCTACCTTTAAACTGACAACTGAATAACGAGACTGGATCCGTTAAGTCATACTCAACAGGGTTCTTTATCTTGAAGTTGTGATCTTCAGCACTAATTTGACAGTCAAGTTTCGTTAGTAATAATAAGGTCAAATAACTTATATAAATATGAAGTTGCGTGACTAAAACAAAATACAGTACCATCCTGGCGATTCCGGTAAACTGAGGACAGAGAGCCCAAAATAAATATTTTTTGAGCGTACGTGCTTACCTGACAAATTGAAAGACGGCAACTGAATATAAGTATATATTGGCGTCAAAGAATGTCACTACTGCTCGTCCTCTATTACTCGAGTGTGATATGAATCTCAGCCATGGTTTCACTAACCACAAGTAAAACTAAATCTTTAATCATCTCCCTCATACCATTCACACATGGATAAATCAGATCCAGAATTCACTTACATGCATGGCAGATCAGAATGGGCTGACCTCAGCACAATGAAGTAGCGCTAGCTAGTCTCATTTGACTTGCAACTCCTCTCATAACTCCAGTGCCATAATCCTTGTGGATTTTAATTTTGCAAATTTTGTGGTTGCTCCGCAACAGCTTGCATTTGCCTCTACCAGTAAAGCCCAGTGAAATTCAAAACAATTCTTTTCTACAATGCACCATTAAATAATCTTCAGTTGTTTTAAACGAAAATCTTCATATCAAATCTAAAACTTCTTGACGATGGTGAAGAGTCAATTGAATAAAAATTTACTTGGATATTATCCATCGTCTAGTAATAAAACGTAAAAAACGTAAAACGACGTTTCGGAGATGGGGCTCTATCTCCGTCTTCAGGTTCCTACTCAGTTGGGCCCACTAGAAAGAGCTAATCAGAATGTCCGGACAAATTAAAAAAGTGAAAGTCCCAGAATAAAAAGGCATAACCACACCATCCATCCATTGGGACGTAAAAGAATAGAATGTAGAAAACAAAATTCATAAACACGAAAAAAGCCACTTCATTCATTCATTCAATTTCACTTTTTTAATTTGTCCGGAGATAGGGATTAGCTCTTTCTAGTGGGCCCAACTGAGTAGGAACCTGAAGACGGAGATAGAGCCCCATCTCCGAAACGTCGTTTTACGTTTTATTACTAGACGATGGATAATATCCAAGTAAATTTTTATTCAATTGAAAATCTTCATAATGTGGAAAATTGAATAACTTTTTTTTCCTTCAACATGCCAAGTATTCTAGACAATTCTATGCCTAATTTTAAAAATATAAAAAATAAATTATTTTCCTAAGTTTATATCTCCAAGAGGAACATTTATTTTCCACCAGTTTTTTCCAAGCTAAGCTGTTGTATAAGAATTTTGGATAGCCCTGCGCTTAATTTCCAAAATTGTGAGAAGTCAAAGTCATTTTTCTGAGCTTCTCTCTCCAAGAGGAACATTTGGGCCTCCTTCTCACATAGACTTTCTTCCCTGGACAAACAATAAAAAACAGCAGTTTATTTTCAAAAAGTTCCCTTACCCTTCAAAAGAAAGGGGAAGCCATTAGCTGTATATTTGCAAATGTGTGCATGCCTGTTTGTATCCATATGAGCACATTTGAAGGAACAGGCCATATGGCCTAAACCCTGAATAGTTCATGATGAGTACATTCTTTTACCGCCACGGTGGTCTAGCGGTTAGAACGCTGGCCTTGTAATCCTGGGGTCTCGGGTTCGATTCCCGGCGGTGCCTGAATTTATAACTTGTGTTGGGCAATGCCGTGGTCTAGGCAACACAGAGTTTTCCTCCGGGGGCTTCCCCGGTTTCTCTGTGGCCTCCCAACAATTACTCCATTCACACACAGAAGAAGGCAATGGCAAACCACTTCTGAATCATCTGCCAAGAACATATATGAACAGGTCCCAGTCCGAGAAAAGGATGGAAGGATCCTGTTCATATGGACCTGTCGTCAGACAGAACACTAAATAAATAATAAATACATTCTTTTGTAGTTTCTTGTAAAGGTAAGAACTTTTTTGGTAAAGTCCTGACAGTACTGTTTGTTATTTTCACAGAAAACCTTTTATATGGAAATCACAGAAATTTTATGGACATTTTGTATTTAAACATCTAGGACTTTTACAAATAAGTGTACTACTACATACCTAGTATATAATGTTTTATTATATATAACTTGTCACTACAGCCTGTTAAGCTTACAGGTTACTGACATAAATACAACAGCATACCAAGAAAAAATTAATAAGGCTTATGTATGCATAACATCTGTTGTTTACCAGTTTCAATAACTAACTAACTATATATATATAGAGTTAATTAGAGCAGAAACATATTTATTACAAATGGGATAATATAAATATTGATAAGAAGTACAACCATTTAAACACTACATGATGTAGATCAGTGGTCCCCAACGTGGTGCCCGCTGGCGCCGGCCAAGGCTTTTTTTTTGGGTGCCCGCGTTGTTACGGAAGGAGGTTATACTGAATAATGAAGGCTGTTCAACCATGAACATTACAAAATCAAAGCACGGACTTACTGACGCCCATCTTGATGATTGTTTGCGAGCAGCAACATCATCCTACACTCCCAAATTTGAAAAACTGGTCGATGAAATGCAGCGCCAAACATCACACTAATTTCCCACTTGAGTAATAATAATTGTACTTATAAAACTACGTATTTTTGTTTGCATGGTTTCTTGTATCATTAAACGTGTTGTTTTGTGTATTATTTGGTGTCCATATCTTATTTGTCCAAAATTAGGCTTTGTTAATTGATTGGTGCCTGCCACAAACTCATAAACTCTCAAATGTGCCCGTAGGTACAGAAAGGTTGGGGACCACTGATGTAGATAGCAGGAGAGGGACCAATGACTTTTTTACTTAAAAATTAAAACTCCCTCTAGTTGGGTCTTATGATTTACGAAATAACTTCTTGTACTTGTCTCTTCGGTTTCAGTCTTAGAACATTCTTCATACATATTAAAGCATGTCTCCATTGATGGTAAACATTTGTCTCTCAGAATGAGAAGAGACTACCTTCTCTCTTTCATATTTATAAAAATGGAGAAAAATGGGGGAAAACAAAATTGGGTAATAGTCAAAATCACACTCCCAACTGCTGTGCAAATCTGATATGTGGTTGAACATTTTATAGTCTTAAAAAGTCCAAAGCATTTTAATGAATTATTTTCATTGGTTCATAAAATGTGTACACAGCAGAACATCACTGAAACACTGATTTTTCCAAAACTAGGACAGTCACTATTAATCTTTTGAACAAGAATAATGTTCCATCTTCGTACAAACTGATGGCATTGTGGAAGTGAAATACAAATGAACAAAGAATGTGCTATACAGTTATTCTCACCTCACAATCAAGGAAATTAATATAAATTTAATGAACTTTCAGATAAAATTTACAAATACTATATCAACTTAACCTAGACATTCTTCTATGAATGAAGTGAGGGGATGCGACTGAATCAGAAACATAACGGAATTTTAGATATGGAAAATGGGGAGGCCAGATTCCAGTCAAAATATTTGTCACAGTGAACGTACATTGTATCAACATTAATTTATGAGGGAGCCTGGTCAAAATATTAAAAATACTCAATAAATAGTATTTTTCTGATATGATGCAATATTCCTCAAAATTTTCAATGGTGCAATAAAATACCACGTGTGTGCAAATATAAGCTGCATTATTTTAATAAATTTGCATCCCTTAAAAGCAAGGTGCACCTTATAATCAAAATATTTTTTATTGGCGACAAACAAGGTCTGCATCTCCGTTGATTAGACACAGCTTCTGTGTTCATTGGACATATTTCACTTCTTGCAACAGAAGCACAATTGCCACTAAGCACAACTTTTAACCAACGATAGAGAGGGGCATTATGTGCAGTGTTATCGTCACAAAATCAGAACAACTGAAGTCTTTGTAAGGAACAAAGCATTTACGCCTGACAATTATGTGAGGAAGAATTAATTTTCTTCCTAAAATTCAATTTCAATATATTTATGCACGCAGTTCTTATTTGCACAAATGTTAAGCTACATATTCATATCAAATATGTTATATACCTACGTTAATATAAGTTCAGGAGCACTCAGATATTTGAAGCTATTTTCCACAAATTTTATTTGGCTTATTCAGTGACACATTACATCAGCTGCATAGACGTTATAGCACAAAATGAGTGACTATAAGCAAGGAAGCTTGAAGGGACTGAGGAAAGACATGAAAATCTGTCAGGATAGGTAGTCTCCAAGCTCAAGATTTAATACTGATACAAAGATGAAGCATGATGCTCAGTAAAGGACATTCATGAAAGATTTGAGGTTTTCTCAGCGGTGAGTATGAAGATTTCTGTCTTCTGGGTTGTTGCGCTGTGTAGTCTGGTCGATGTTAACCAACGTTTCAGAGGTCATACTGCCTCCGTCATCGATGAATGACGGAGGCAGTATGACCTCTGAAACGTTGGTTAGCATCGACCAGATTACACAGCGCAACCCAGAAGATGGAAATCTTGACATTCACGAACATAAAAGCTTGAAAGGTTTCTCTGAAAAATATGATGAGCTTCTTAAACTTGCAAAATTGTTATTCTCCTCATCAGTATTTGAAAAATAGGTTTTCTTAGTATAAAACAATACAGTGCACTCGTGTAAACCTGAACCCTTGTGTCTGGTGAGGTTCTGCTGTATTTCTTGAATGTTTAGAATTGATAAAGAAGTTGCTATATTTTTGGTACTTTCACTGGAGCACTAATGTCAGAATGCAAGTACTTCGGATATGAAAGCACTTCAGTTGGGAATGTGCCACTACAAACGAACATTCTGCTAATAAATTTGTTACATCAGGAAGTAAACAAGTTAATCAAACCATACATGTTGAAGTGTATTATATCATACATCTATAACATCTGTGAATGTCACCATCAGAAATAAATGAACATAAATAAGTTAAGTAAGATTTGAGGTTTATACAGCGGTGAGTTTGAAGATTTCTGTCTTCTGGGTTGTTGCGCTGTGTAGTCTGGTCGATGTTAACCAACGTTTCAGAGGTCATACTGCCTCCGTCATCAGGGCGATGACGGAGGCAACAACCCAGAAGACAGAAATCTTCATAAATAAGTTAATTCGATAAGATACGTATGCTTGTGTATCACAGAAAATTACGCTGAATTTTATGTTAACTGACTTAAAAACTTGCATCATATGTATACAAACACTTAACTGAAGCCATAATATGGTGTTTATTAAGTAGATCGAGTCATGGAATTGTGTTCCGTAAATGTCCACCATACATAAATGATCTAGTGCATGTTTATGGCAAATGAAGTGGCGGCTTTTATTCATCAGCTGCTTATAGCTTCAAGTTTAATGCAGTTCTTAATAAATTACCCTCTTATGCATGTGTGAGAGAAATGTAAGGAGTACGATGTACATACAGATTCAAGGCAATTTTTTTAAGTGTTGTTACATGCTCCTACAGTCGGTCATAAAATTATGATTACGGATCATGAAACCTGCCCTCCATTAACAGATGAGTCTGAAACCTGTGGTTACTGTAGTCAGAAGTACAAAGCTTACACCTAAGCTGTAGCTGCTCTCTTTACTGGGAAAGTAAAATCTATATAATGGAAAGTGAAGTGCAAAATTTATCAGATATTACAGAACTGCAGCTGTGAAATCTAACAACAAAGCACAAAAATATTTTACCAATATTTTCTGTGAAATATACCTTTGATACTAAGAGCATATGTTTGTCTATTGGGATTCTATCACTTCAAAATTCTGTGTACGATCATGTGTCGTGTCGGAATACCTAAAGTTAATTTTATGCTGCATAACAAAAAACAGGATAGCTTTACAGTTTCAACATTACCATTACGTATTTACCTACAACCACCCTTTCATTCTACTTTACTCCTCTATGACACATACTGGACACAGGATAATATGCATTAAAGAAAGGACTCTTACATCGTAATATATCCTAACCATTCCCTACAGATTGTCTAAAAATTCAAATTTTGGTGTGGCATCCACTGTATGCTTAAATTATTAATATCCATTCAAATGACTCACAAGAACCAATACAACTGAATACATATCTCATTCCTTCCCTTCGCAAGATGCGGTCAGTCCGTAGACAACGTATTATGTAACGTCATCACTGACAGACTTGCCAACATACACAAGTGCCATCTAATTCAGTGCATTGAATTCAAATAAAACATGAACGCTATAAACACCAGCTACTTCAGCTTCACTCCCGTTAATCATTCAAGAACCACGGATTGTCGCTGTTGTTATTGGCAGCGGAACTATCGCAATGCTGAGATGCCGAGTCACTGTCACGCACTTCATCCATGTGTACATCCTCAAACTCCGCTCCAAACACGATGTTGTTTCCTTCATCTAATGTGCGGGCCACGTCTGATCCACGGCTTAGAGGGACTAACTTTGAACTGAAGCTGATTCCTTCTGAAAATGAGTACTCCTTTGTCGTGTTCCTACTGGAAAAAGATACTTCACCTGCAGCAGACAAAGGTGTGTGGCCAGAGAAGTTGGCTTCATATGGATTTGCATCACATGCCAGTAACAACTGCACCAGGTCACAGTCATTAGCTTCTACAGCATGGAAGAGAGGAGTTCGCCCACTCTTGGCATCCTTCAACAAAGTCACGTGGTGATGAATTTCATTACAGTCAAGCAACACCCTCCTTTTATTTCCAACATAAAAGATTCCTGATCAATGTCAATAAATAACCTTGATTATCCACAGGTAAATTAAAGTAAAGTTTGTCCCACTATACGCCATGTAGGCGTTTGGGGGGAGATGAGGTATAGCTCCTACTAATTCTTGACTTCGGCACTAGATGGGGCGAGTGGTCGGCATCACGCCCCGGCCGGCATTATCCCCTCGGGAAAAGACCCCGGTACCCATTGTAGAGGAGGCTGGGTGGGCCCCAGAGCCGGTCTGGACGCAGAGGCTAGAGGAAAAATCCTCTGCCCCTGTCGGGGATCGAACCCCGACCGTCCAGCCCATAGCTAGTCACTATACCGACTGAGCTATCCCGGCTCATGATTATCTACAGGCAATACATGAAAAACATGAACATAAAAACACAATTAAAATACGGTATTCTCCAGATTATCCGTTTGCGGATTACACGACTTTTTATTTCACATATAAGTGTGTGTGGACTAGGCTTTTGACCTCTTTCTGTGCCATACTGTTCACTTCAGAAGGGAGGGGGAGGGGAAATAGTTTTGGGAGGGTGTACAGAAGTCTTCCAGCGGTAATGATGATGATGAAGAGAGGGGATATGCTACATATGCTTGGTACTAGAAAGGGTTACCAACAAGGACCCTTGCATTTTAAATATGTTAAGTGTGCTCCAGGCACAGTCTAAAGAATGCCATGTGGTCATATGAAATGGAAATATGCCCAGAAATCACAAACTGAAACTTGCAAAGTGAAAAAGCTACGATTGGTCAAGGATACCAAACAAAACTGCGTTCTGTCCATCATTACAACCAGAAAAAAGCATGGGTAGATCAGTCTACATGCACTCTCCCCCACCCAGAAGTTTCACTTTTCTGAAAGAGGGGATTATGACAGGACAGGAGTCATCAAAGCAGATGCTGGTGATTTATTTTCATAGCCCACAAGTTTTAAATAAGGAACACATCGCTCAGAGGTCCTCACTTGGATAGGGTACAACATTTTCAACTGTAACACGAACAAGTCCCCGGGGGAGGATGGCATTTCCCATCTCTCTTACAAGGAGGCACAGAGGTCATCAATGGTCTGGTAATGGAAATATTTAGAGCCTGTATTATGTTTCATTATCCTAGAGGTTAGACCCAAGGAATGTTCAGGTAACACCTTTCAGCCCTGTCAGACCACCTTCATTTTGAAAACACTGGATTGATATTGAGGTGAAATCTCGGTAACAATCTAACAGTTTATCGGGTGACGTCCAAATACAGGTTTCGGACTCTCCATTTCTCTCTCACCTTTAAGTTCACTTCTGCTCCCCTGCTGATAAGACACTTCGTCTCCTCCACTTTGCCATTCAATACAGATAAGTGCATTGGACTATACCCTGCAATCAAATAGTGTATAGAACTTTCAAAAACAATTGAAACACAAAAAGTCTTGCAACATTCTCCACGAAGCATCAAAAAGCAAAAAATTACATCACTAATTCATGGTCAATAACTGTGAAAGTTCTCTGATCTTTTCCAATTTTCACCAAAGACCGAAGTTTTAATTTAGCGTAACAGTGTGAAGAACATCAGGATTCAAACAATTTTTATCTTGGTACAGTACATTTTAATGGTCAAAAAAAACAGTGAGGAGAAAAGATATTTCTTTGTTCCTTACAGGATTAATATGAAAATTTGTACAAATTTCTTTACATGGAAAGTTCATCGCGATTCATCGCCCTGATGACGGAGGCAGTATGACCTCCGAAACGTTGGTTAACATCGACCAGACTACACAGCGCAGCAACCCAGAAGACAGAAGTCTTCATACTCTGATGACGGAGGCAGTATGACCTCCGAAACGTTGGTTAACATCGACCAGACTACACAGCGCAGCAACCCAGAAGACAGAAGTCTTCATACTCTGATGACGGAGGCAGTATGACCTCCGAAACGTTGGTTAACATCGACCAGACTACACAGCGCAGCAACCCAGAAGACAGAAGTCTTCATACTCTGATGACGGAGGCAGTATGACCTCCGAAACGTTGGTTAACATCGACCAGACTACACAGCGCAGCAACCCAGAAGACAGAAGTCTTCATACTCTGATGACGGAGGCAGTATGACCTCCGAAACGTTGGTTAACATCGACCAGACTACACAGCGCAGCAACCCAGAAGACAGAAGTCTTCATACTCTGATGACGGAGGCAGTATGACCTCCGAAACGTTGGTTAACATCGACCAGACTACACAGCGCAGCAACCCAGAAGACAGAAGTCTTCATACTCTGATGACGGAGGCAGTATGACCTCCGAAACGTTGGTTAACATCGACCAGACTACACAGCGCAGCAACCCAGAAGACAGAAATCTTCTACTTCTCTTTCAACGTAAAGTTTGGGAATTACTTGATTTCTAATTCTCACGAAAGAGCAGGGACAGGATATATGATAAAAAATAGCCAACAGGAATAAGTATAAAAGATAAATTAATAGAAACACGGAGAAAATTACGTAGCGAGAAACCAAACTTTATCATCTACAGTAACATACGTACAAAGAGTTGCGCAGAACAACGTGCACATGTAAAACAAAAAAAAT